CCGCAGTCAAGCATTTCTGGGCACGTCCTAAGTGTGCATCTTCTAACAGCTGCCACACATCTTCATTTACAGTACGTGTGTGCGTGTGCACACACGCATGCACACGTGCACATATGCACCCATGCACACACACACATGTCCACGTGCACACACGCACACACATGCACGCATGCCCACATGCACACATGGACCCATGCACGCACATGCCCACGTGCACACGCACGCACACACATGCCCACGTGCACACATGCACGCGCACATGTGTGCATACATTTTAATGCATTGCTTCCCCCACACGGCGACCCTGTACCCCTTGAAGTGCTGCCCGACGCAGGACGTGTTGCGTTGCTGTCTCTTCAAAGACACCCCACCTCTTATTACACAGGGTTTAAAGTGCAAGAAAGTCTATCCGATCTGAGAAGAACGGTCAGTTGTATTTCCTGACGAGCTTACAATTCTCGTTTGCTGTTATTTTTAATTAGAAATCTTTATCTTGTGTATATTTTGGTTATCTTTTTACTTTTTCAGGCCTTTCGAATTTCTCTAATGTATCAACCAATGCAACAATTATCACTAATTAGTCAATATATTTTCTGTTCTCACAGTAGGAATTAAGTTCAGAAATTTCTCGTGAAGGTAGTTTTACACACAATAAATTTATCGTCCACATGCGAAATTATCATATTATTGCAATAGTTGCTGTCCTTGGTATCATGTTCCCACAGTCACACTGAGATTCTGTCTTTAAATCAGTTTGTGGGTAGTGCACTAACTCGTCACTCATCCAATTTGGAAAAGTTTTTTTAAAAAAGAAGCGATTTATACCACGTCACTGAAAATGGCTCAAAGTCTGTTGAACCCGACTCGTCACGGTGCCACGCAGGCCCGTGGAACTCCAGAGAGTAGCAGCAGCATGAGCCTGCAGTGTGTGTGTCTGTGTCTCCCTCGTTCTGAAGGGCTTAGAAACACCAGAGGACACTTGTCGAGCAGCGTTCTTACCCTGGGGGCTCTGTGCAGCGTCACGCGGCCTCCCGCCCCGAGCTGCTCTGTGACAGGTACCAACAGACCACCTTCCTCTGTGGCCTTCCTGCCAGCCCCGGCCCTGCGGTAGGCACCCAGGGGAAAGCGCCTTGACATGTCCATTTTCTTGCTCTTTACAACATCTTTTACATCAGTGGTCCCCAACCTTTCTGGCACCAGGGACCGGTTTTTATAATAAAGCCCTAAACATTCTGAAAGTAACGTTGGGAAGCGGCCTCCTCCTGTCGCGTCCCTGCTTGTCCCGCCTGGATGCAGAGCCAGGCCGTGCCAGCGCCCTGGCCACCACGCAGGGTGGCAGCCAGGCGGAGACGTGGAGCACATCTACACAGGCCTGCAAGCGAACGGGCCCCGGAAGTCCTGGCTTTTCTTCTAGAAAACAGTCATGGGCGCGTGTAATCAGGGCCACAGTCCTGTGTCCGCTGTTTAAGGATAGCCAGTCCTCTTGGACTCCTTAAACTAAGATTTCACAATGTAAAGTTTTCATGGAAACTGCCCTCAGCATAATAAGTACAAGTAATTTATGTGATGAAAGAATATCGACAGCAAGTACAGAATAATTGGTGTGGTGACAAGTCGCACCCATCCTTCCCAGGAAGAAGGGCACACTGCTGTGCGCAGAGCAGATGGGGCCACGGCCAAGAACAAGCACTGGTGTCTAATACGCAGCTCCCTATACCTGACGAAGTTGCTGTGGATAACTGCTGCTTCCCCCCTCCCGCATACGCAGCCTGGGGTGCGAGAGGAGGCAGATATGAATGAGTGGGACCTATCAACGCCGAGGTAGGGACGTCGGATGCAGCCCCGCTCATCCCCGCTGAAGGCAGAGGTGTGATTTCGAGGACTGGCAACGGCAGTCCTTGTGGGCCTGAGGTGCATCGCCCCTGAGACTGAGCTGGGAAGGGCGAGGTGAGCAGCTCCCGTACACCGCACCCCACACACTGGGGTGTTGCAGGAGACGCAGGAGACCTGCCTGCTGGCTTTCCACACGGTAATGGCTAGGAAACGCAGGAGATCTTGGGGTTCCGAGGGGGACATAAGTGGTCTGTATACTGTGGACTCAGTAGCATATAGTGGACAGGGAGGGCTGTCTGTTCCCACAGCGCTTTGTCAACAGAGCCAAGCGGTGGTCGTCCCTCCACGGGACTCCAAGAGCTCATCGCCGATGACCAAGTCCAGGCGGCGAACAGGAAATGGCGGAGAGTGGAGAGGGCCACCGACCGGCCCCGGAGACGCTGCCGGGCAGGGAAGCCTTGTGGGACAGGGTGCTGGGCCAGGCTGTGCGTTGAAACCAGCGGCCGGACGCCCGGCAGAAAGGGTTTGTCAGACGTGGGCGCAGCTCTAACGGCTCCCACTGTCTCGTCCGGTGCGCAGTGTCCCTGCCGGGCTGGCTGTGGCAAGGCAGCAGCCCTCAGCACGGAGTTGGGAGATGGGGCCATTGGGACCAGAAGGAGTTCCAGGAGGCGTCTCAGGAGCCCGCTTCGGGCACAGGAGGCAGCACAGGTCAGGATGGCACGGGGGTTGTGGCTATGGCAGGGCGTGTGGGCCAGGGCCACATGGGCGGGGAGGAGGGGCGGGCTCCAGCAGGGGGTGGTCGTGCGGGCTGGGGGGCGGGCCCACAGTGGGGAGCACCCAGGCACCTGCCTGGCAGGCTCGGCCTGGTGGGTGTCCACAGCAAATCTCTTCATTTACTCTCCGTGGCCATCAATTTCACAAATGGGACACTGAAACTCGGGATGGTGACCAACTAGTCGGCCAGGGTGAGAGAGCCCCAACATCTATGGTACATTACAGAGCAGTAATTGAAGGAATGGCTTGAGGACACTTTGAATCCTTTAAATACATCGATCTAAATGCACTTCAGCCTAATCAAAGCAACAGAAAACTCTAAGTTCTCGGGCTTTCTCGGGCATGACTGAAGTTGCATGTGTCACATAAATGCCATGTGTACCCACACCCACTCACTACCTGCATGTACGCATGTACGCACGCTCGCGTGCAAATTTTTGTGGTTGACTTAAATTTTTTTTCAGAAAATGAGAACGTAGAATAAATTTCTACCCAAAATTTTGTTTTTTAAATTATGAACTTGCTAGAATTGATGTGAGCATTGTGTGGTCAGTTGAAATAAAAACCTCATTCTATTGCAGTTACATTTTTCTCCTTTATTAAAAATCTGGAGGATATTTAATCGTTCTCCTTCTAAATATACTTCTATTCAAAGAGTAAAACACGATGTTGGAAATCCTGTTATTTTGTTCCACGCCAAGATATTCTGAGTTTGTCTGTGGACGAGAGGGATAGGAATAACAATAATTTTTGACATGTTCACATCTTCCATCCCCATTTGCTGTGACGGAGCATGCATCTCTCTCCAGGGAGACTTTCATGAGAGCAGAGCTAAGAAAGCATCAATGAGAAATGATGAATGCTGAAACTGACCTTTAAGGTGCATTTAGAGATCTCCTTTTACAAGATTCATCTTTTATGGTAGTTTTTTTAACCGCGCATTACAACAACAGTCTGCAAACTCTTCTGCTCATTGACCCCCTAAAAGAATTTTGGAAAGTATGTATCCCTTCACACATTTTATTCTGACAGCTAAAAGTTTTCATTAGAAATGTAAATAGATACAAACGATGCATTTTGGGGGGCATAGTATTTACATTTAAAAACAGAACTGTGACATCACTCTTTCAAATGTATCCAAAGGCATTTAAGTTCCACAATGATTTGATACTTGCTGCCATCCATTTTTAAAATACATAAAGTTCTTTAATGTTTGAAGATTGGTCTTTTGCCAAAGTATAATTTTTGAAGAGGCAGAAAAGTTCTCATGCAGATAATGAACAAGTGCCAAAAACTGTATTCAACTCACTAAATGAGAGGAAAGATCATGAAGGAAGATGTAATGAGTAAGATATCAGGGCTGATTTGGATTGTATTTCAGGGCTTGGGGTTATACAGGCGATTTCATGGAGGAATATTAGGGTCAGATTGCGGGGCTATATACCAAACTGGTTAACATCCTAAAGAACAACCAACTATATCCTTAGGGGTTATATTTTCTTACTGGACAGAAAGTATTTGGCAAAAATCTTCAAGTTAACATGTAATTTCACCAACTGGGGAATTTTTAATTAATAAACAGTGAGTCGAGCTAAGCGCAATCTGAGTTTTCGGGTGGGCTTGTGCTCTGCTACATGAGAAGCTGCACAGACCTCTTCTTTGCCTTATTTCTGGGTCTGGAAGCAGGTGATGGCGTGAGACTCCAGGGGCTTGGTTGGGCTGTCCTACCTGGCGTAGGACAAACCAAGCAACCAAACTCACCAACCACCACCCCACTGTTGCTGACAGCCGCGTAGGGCTTCAGGTACTTCTGACAGTCCTTGGTTGGTTGAAGGGGTCAAGCGAGCAGTTTGAGGACATTGTTCCATGTTAGGGGGCGGTGGGGGGGGGCGGCTAGCTGCTTCCTAGAACAAATGGGAGACATTAGGGGCTCTTTTAGAGTGAGCGTTCTCAGAACATGTGACTGAATGGCGAGCACTGTCTTAAAACAGACCACGCCCCCTTCCAAGTTCCCGTGGCACGCTACGGAAACGCCCAGCTATGGGCGGAAGGGTGACTGGCGGGTAGCACTGCTATAATCTTGGAATATAAAACCTACATAAATATATATGTATATTTATAGTTTAGAAATCCGACCACGTATTTGGCCATGAAGAAAACCTCGAATTTAAAAAATCTGAGTTCAGATGGAATTTCTGAGCTATAAATTACTAACCATCTTTAACTCCATGACACCAAAGTTCAGAACTCTCTGGAGACTTGACTGTTAGAGCACTCTCTGGAGGCAATTCATGGGAATAAAGGAATCTTAGGAAATAGTGAAACACGGGAGAAGTTTGAGTACAGGAGAAAGCGGAGCGTATTTGCATGTAGACGACGGAATGAGAAAGTAGGAATGAAAACTACCAGAACTCCAAAGCACGGAGGGGCGAGGACGACGTACGAATAGTGTTGGATCTGGCTTGCTTCGCCCTGAGGTCGGGGTGAGGAAGAGGGTCCGCGCGACAGGGCAGGGCATGCAGGGCATGCAGGGCGGGGGGCGGGGCCTCTATCCCTGGGTGACGAGGGTCAGAGGCCGCGGGCAGGGAGGTGAGAGCTCCCGGACACGACGGTAAAAAGTGAAAGCAGTGCGTCTGT